CGGCGCAGAGCTGAGCCCGTCACGTGACGCGGTTTAACAGCCCGGATGGGGCGGCTCGCGCGCGTGCGCGTAAGGAGCTGCCCGACCCGACACCTACGCAGGTTCTTGTTTTGGTTTGCGGGAGTCGTGATTCCCGACCAGGTTTTGGGTGTGCAGCCTGTTTTCTCTCAGTACTTATGGGGTAGCTACGGACCCTGTGCTGGCCTATGTCCCTGGTGTGACACTGACTCAAGGAGGCAGGAAATGGCCTTCTGGTGTCCTCGGTAGGATCTACTGCTTCTCGGAGAGGGCAGCGGCCGACACATTACTCAACCATCGACGCGCTGGTCCTCCCAGTTCCCTCCTCTCAGCGTGTAAACAAACTAGCGCGTGACCTGCAGACTTGAAAATAGCTTCACCGTCTTAAGAGAAATTGCTTCTTTCCTTTTTTCCGTGTATCTCTTTCGCGTGTCCATATATCGGCACTCCTTCCTCCCCATCCTCCATTGTGAGATTGGTGGCAGGGAGTGAGTTTGAAGATAAAACCTTGTTTATATGATGTTTATGAAGATAAAACCTTTTTTAAATGATGTTTACTCTAGGAGCCGGGCGTGGTAGTGCCCGACGGTAACCCCAGCACTCAGTTGGTTTAGAAGGATAGTGATGAGTTCGAGGCCAGGCTGAACTACATAGTTAAACCCTATCTAAACAAAACAAAAACCTCAGATGATACGAGGGCATGTTAAAATCTGTTTGGCTGCTTCGTATTCCCTTGAGATCATTTATCTGTTGCAATGACCTGGCAAACTCTGTGCATTGAATGAGATTTTAGAATGTCAAACTGCTAAAAGATACAGAGCTAAAAGTTACCCTTCCATTTGGTTCAGTTCTTCCACTCGTAAGTTTCGTGTGGGTTCTTTCAGACGACTTATTTATGTTCACTGCTAACTGTACATTTCCCCTTAAAAAAAAAAAAAAGCAAAAAACTAGGAGTAACTCGCTGTGCGCCTCCCTTTGTTCACATTACACCGATTTGAAAAGGTTTCCCTGGCTCGCGCTCAGTTCAGCGAGGTCCCTTAGGAACTGTCCTCATTTCTCAGAAGAGGCCCCTGGGGCTCAGCTCTGTGGTTCCGTGAGACCCGGGATTCGGAGCAGCCTTTCCCTGGGCCGGGCGGGCGGGGGACACTTCCTGCGGGGCCGAGCGACGCGCCAGCAGCTTGCAAACGTAGGGGCGGAGTGCAAGCCTCGCTACCGGTGTCCCCACTTCGCGAGGTAAACGCCGCTCTGGGCGCCCGGGCGGAACAGGAAGAGTAGCTCGACCGCCGGCCCCGCCTGCCTCTGTTGGCGCGGGGGAGGGGGCTGTGAGGGCGGTGGCCAGCTGCTGGGAGGCAGGCGGGCAGGTGGACCGGAGGGCGAGGACGGCCCTGGGAGTGCCTTACAACTCCTTCCCTTCCCCTCCACCTTCGCAGGCCGGTTGCTGGCGGCACCGCGATGGACCTGGCCGGACTCCTACTGGACGAAGAAGGCACCTTTTTCCTCACCGGCTTCCAAGACTTCACGGTGAGCATGCTGACAGTCCTTCCCCAGCCTTCTGGCGTTTGATGCTGGGGCCGCCGCTCCTCTACCTCCCGGCAAGATAGCTTGCTTGCTTCATGGTCTTGCATGGGCCTGGGCCGCCACCGCTGAAATAGCATCTACTTGAGGCCCTGGCTTCTTGGGCCCTGAGGCAGAACCGCGGAGTGTAGGAAGGGAGGAAAGATGGCAACACCAGGGGCCCTTTTAGAGGATCCTCTTGGGGCAGCCTTCAGTGGGAGCAACAAATCTTCCTCCCCACGTGGATCAGGCTGCCATTCCTGGAGCAGGATGGGGCTTGGGCCACTGGCAGCTAGGCAGCCACAGCCGTCCAGCCCGGAGCCTGGATCTCCATCATACCCTTCCCTGCCCTTCACCCTCCACTACCCATTCTCCTGCCCTGTTTCAGTTCCTCCCAGGACACCAGAAGCTGAGTGCCCGGATCCGAAGGCGACTGTACTATGGCTGGGATTGGGAGGCCGACTGCAGCCTGGAGGAGCTCTCCAGCCCTGTGGCAGGTTAGGCAGTGTTGTGCCAGTAGGCAAAGTGAGAAGCTTAAGAATGGGCCTGTCAACAGTCACTGCTGTGCTTCCAAGTTTACCTTCTGAACTGTATTGCCACTTCAGATCTAGCTTACTGGTATTTAGTTCAAGAATACAGGTTATGTTTCACATTCTCTTAGCTCTTATGAGTAGACGTCTCCTGAATTGGTATAAGGGTTTTTGTTTTTGAGGTGCTGGGGATTGAACTCAGGGCCTCAGACATGCTAGGCAAGTGCTCTAACACTGAGTTATATCTCCAGCCCACTGTTTTGATTGGCATTCTGGAAACAATTTTCTAAGGACGTATATTCATTGTTTTGTTTTGTTTTTGTACCAGGGATTGAACTTGGGGGACATACATTCATTGTATGATACCGAGTAAACAAGGCATGTTTATTTCTCAGGTGGACATCAGTAAAAAAACAAGTGTGGGTACTTTCAAGGGTCAGGGGAAGGAGCTGATACTCAGACTTGAAATAGGCTTTTGTCTTGATTTGGGAGAATTTGATTTTGTTGTTGTTGTTACTGTGGTCATGTCCTCAGATAATCAGACCCAAGTCTTTGCTGACAGCATTGGGAGACGTGGGGGATCGGTGTGGGGTGGAGTTGTTGATTCACTCTGCTCTCCTGTCTTCTGCAGACATTGCTGTGGAACTGCTCCAGAAGGCAGCCCCCAGCCCTATTCGCCGGCTCCAGAAGAAATATGTGGCTCATGTGTCCCGGTGAACCTGGAATTGAGATAGGAGGGATAGGATGGGAGCGTGTGGGTTCTTGAGTGGGGGTGGACTGGTTTTCTCTAAGGACAAAACAAAGGGGAAAGGGAAGAGAGAGGGGAGGGGAAGGGGTAGTGAAAAGGCCTAAGACTTGATATGTGTATATACACTAATTTTTCAAGATGAAGGTATTCATTATAAAGGTGTTCATTATATATCTCATACACCAAAAAAATGAAGAGAAGGCAAACAGAATGAGCATTGCAAGAGCTGTGAAAGCTAATGGACTCTTGGGTTTAATTGTGGATTCTTTTTACCTACCAGAGAGGCATGCATCTCCCCCTGTGCCATGATGCTAGCTCTGGTGTACATAGAGCGGCTCCGACACCGAAACCCAGATTACCTGCAGCACGTGTCGTCTTCTGACTTGTTCTTGATCTCCATGGTAAGGCCCCTCCCCTTCATCTCCCTAGTGAGCCAGGAGCCTGGTGTGAGCTCTACCAGTACCACTTCTGGTTCCTCTGCAGATGGTGGCCAGCAAGTACCTCTATGATGAAGGGGAGGATGAGGAGGTCTTCAATGATGAATGGGGAGCTGCTGGGGGTGTGGCTGTGCCTACTCTCAATGCCTTGGAGAGGAGCTTCCTGAGTGCCATGGTGAGTAGCTGTTGTTCTGTTTCTCTCGTTCATCTTTACCTTTCTTTTATCCTTAGTTCTGTTTCAGCCTTCTGTTGTTTCTTCATTTCCTTTCCTACCGGTTATCTTATGCCTTGTTTGCTAGCAGCCGTCCCTTCCTGTCTTTTAAGACTAACTTCCAGGAAGTTCCTGGAGTGGTGAGCCCAGGAGTAGACCATTTCCTCTCCTCCTGTGCTTCACAGGGTTTCAGAGGGCACACTGAGCCGGGCGTGGTGGCGCATGCCTGTAATCCCAGCACTTGGGAGGCTGAGGCAGCAGGAACGAGTTGAGTTTGAGACCAGCCTGGGCTACGCAGTGAGTTCCAGAGCAGTCTCAACTACATAGTGAGACCCTGTCTCAAAAAAACCAAACCTTGTGTCAGAGGGCACCCTGAGTTAGATCCCAACATGTTTGGTTCTAAGTATTTCCTTCCAAACTTTCTCTTCTACCCTTTTTGGACATGGGCCCATTCTCAGGATTAGTTTCTCCTCTTTCCCTGGTAGATGGTATGATAAAAAACCAGGTAGGTGTTGGCTATCTGACTTCATGTACGAAGCTTTTGGGATAGTACCTGGCATGTAGTAAGTGTCAGGCATCAGCCATGGTGGTGGTTGCAATTGCTGCTGTGGCTTTTGTTCTCAGGTATCTGTGGCACACATTTGAGTTGGGTTTGGTGTTCTCCCCTCTTACTCACAGGATTGGCGTCTCTACACTGACCCTGGGGAGATCTTTGAGGTGCTGAGCTGGCTGGAGAGCTGGTAGGTTCTAGGAAGAGCTCTAGGGATTTAGAGACTGAGGCCTAGATCCTAGGAGCTAGGGATAATCATGTGTGAATTGGGAGGGAGGAGACAAGAAAGAAAATTACCCAAGGTGTTAGTTCCCAAACCCACCTGCTCTCCTTTGGGAAAGTGGGAGCAATTTATTTAAAATATAGGTACTGGTTTCAGCCTCAGTTTCTGGATCAGCAGCTAGCCTAGGCACTTGTACACTTCAGGCCCCCCAGTGCTTTCTGGGAGATCCAGAGGGGCATGAGGTGCCACTGAGCTGGCTGCAGGAGAGTTGCAGATTCCTGCCTCTTTTCCCCACCACAGTGTGGCTGAGCAGCAGGGACAGCGGCGGGGCTGGTACACATATACAGACCTGTGTGTGCTGCTGGAGCAGCCGACTTGGCAGCTGGCCTTGGGCTCCCTCTGCCAGCGACTGGTAAAGGTGAGGAGGGTCAGGGAAGGAGAGAGGGCTTGAGTTGGCTGGTGTGTGGGGTGGGAGGTTGTAAAACAGATACAGAAAGTCTGGGCATGGAGCTTGGGAGCAGATGGGTGGGGGAGGATAGAAGGCAACAAGAGAGCTCCAACTTGAATGCAGGTTTCTAGAGAAGAGGGGTGTGTGTGTTAAAGCCAGTTAGCAGCCTTCTACTTTCTTACTTTCCCTCCTGCAGCTGTCCTGCCTGTTAACCATGGCATACGTGAGCAGCATAGCCCTGGCTGTGGCATCAGTGGCTGTAATACACCAGTCCTTAGGGCTGTCCTGCAGCCCCTCACCTGGCCCTCCCAACCTTGGCCTGGCCTCAAAGGGCCTTTTGGAGCCCTGCATTCCTTCTCCAGTGCCACAGTGCTTGCCGACTTCTAACATCTCCAGCTGCGTGGAAGGTGACATAGGGCTGCGTTCACTTTGGGACAGTCTTCTGGCCTCATTGGCTTCCCCATCATTGCCTCCCTCAGAGCCGCCTTCCCTGCCCACTCTTCCTCATAACTGCCCCCTGTGTCAGAAGCTCCAGAGAGACCCCCCAACCCGCCATGCCTGCCGCCATCCCAACTATACAGTCCCCACCGGGCCTCCCAGTCCCTGGTACCACACCCATGGTCTGGCTCCACCTTGGTCCTGGAGCCCAATGGCCCCTCCGCTTCCCCAGCCCCAGCAGTGTTCTCTTTTCAGTGTGATGGAGCTGGCCCGCCTCAAGTCTTTCATTTTCCCAGGCTAGGTAGGACTTCAAGTATATAGTCAGAGGATTTGGGAGTCTCTGAGAACCTGGAAGAAGAAAGCTTGATTTAGATCCTTGCTATCTCTCTGGGTTCTTGGCTAATCCCCTGTCCTCCTGCGTAAGCGCTTAAGGGGTTGAAGGTCATTCACTCTCGTAGACCTCAGTGGCTGGCTGCTTGGCCAGGGGAGCGATGGTGCCAGGGAAGCAATGGTGCCAGGGAAAGCTTCATCTGAGTGAAAGGAGCAGGTCACAGATGACAAGAGAAGCCCCATCTCTGTTTCCACGGGGTTCTTGTAGACTTTTGCTTTTGAGTTTCCTAGGATGGAAGGGTAAAGGTGGAAGATGGGAAAGGGGGACAGGGAGGAAGGAAATACGTATTGAAACAGGCCTGTGTGATATGATGTCCCTGAGGTGAGAACCCGGGACTGACGGCTGAGAGAATGCTGGGTGACGGGGGAAAGGTTTTCTATGCCTGTCGCTTGGCTGTAGTCTAATGGAGCCAAGGACTGACTGCTGGGGCCTTCGACCTTGACCTTTTGTCTTCCAGCCTTCTGAGTATCCTGCTCCAAGGCTTCCCTCTCTTCTGGTTCCTCTTTGGGTGTTCTTTTCACAGGCCTTTCTGGTCACCGCTTTGTATCTGACTGAGTTTTTCATGCTTTTGTAGAACTAAGATTTCAATAAACAATTTCAGTTGCATGGCCTCGACTTTTCCTTCTTGCGGCAGCCCTTGAAGATCTTTTCTCATGTCTGCTTTCCAAACCTCCCTACTTTCTCATCCTGTAAGCGTTTCTCATCTTGTGTTTTCTCTTAAGCCCATTTTAGAACTTCCCTGTCGTTTGATAGTCATAGGCTCCTGTTTCAAACTTCCCCTTGGCCCTATTCCCAGCACCCTGGGGCCCTGGCACTGCTTGGGTTGCCACAGAACATAAATAGTGACTGCCCCATGACTGGGGTTGGCCCTATCTGTCTCATTTTTGGAGTGAGCATTTTCTGTGGGGCCAAGCCATGTATCCAGAAGAGCACTCTGAAACTCCTTGAGCAAAAGCCATGAGGATACGTCTCTACTGACCCCTTCACCACGCTGACTCAAGGCCCTGGTCGCATTGTTGAAAGAACGCATGGGCGGGGTGGAATCCTGACTGGAAGAATGGACTATGCTGAGGGCGTTTGGACCCTGGAGATCATCCACCGCAGTGGTGCTTCCGCCCCCTAGAGGGCATTTTGGAGATGTCCAGGCTGTTTTTCCATTGTTGCGAGGATTTGGAAGGGACGTTGGCATTTATTCAGCATGAGCAGGATGCTACTCATCCTAAAATACTCAAGACTTCCCTTACTGTGAAGAATTTTCAGGACAAATCTTGAATGACTAGCTGGTCATGTATGTGAAAATCCTGTTTGTCTGAGCCTGGAATGATCTTTTTACATGTAAGCATGAAACCATTTTGCACATTTTGAAAAAGGCTGTGTTGTAGGAATGCACTTCCATGTAAATTACAACTGTACTTTGTTTTGTTCAGCACTTTACGGGGAATTTGTTTGCTGTTTTGAATACATTGGGTTGCCAATGCCATTACTGCTTGTTGCCAATAAAGTGCTATTATTAGCTGTCACTGTAACTGTTACATCCTTTGCAGTTGTACACATGCATCAGGGATTGACTTCCCCGTTGTCTTTTGGCTTATTTACACCCAAGTTTTCATATATTGAAGTAACACGTCATCATAAATTACCTTTATTTCTCCTTTACATTATAGTGAGTATGTCGTGTGGAGTTGTGGTCACTGTTTTCACGCAGGATTTTGGGTGTATTTTCTGAGCGTTTCCTTTCAGAGTGGCCCAGGGGCCCTGGAAGGGTTGAGACCTAATAAGGATGATTCTAAATAGTGGTGGGAGGGAATGGTCTACAAAATCTCTCCGTGTTATTTTGGTAGGGCTCCTCACCATCCCTCTAACTTGGCAGAGCCCTGTCTAGGACCAGGGGATCTGGAGGAAGATTCATGGGGGAGGGGCCCAAAACTCAGCTCCCAGTTAATGGCTGAAGGAATTTGCACAAGAGCTGGGCAAAGGTGAAGGGGTGTGTCCTACCCCTAAACCTTCATCCCTTGCTCCACTTCATTGACACTTCCACCCTTTCCCCACTACGGGCAGCTAGCTTCACCCAAACTCTGACCTCTTACTCTCTCCACTTAACTATCCCAGAGCAGCCAAGAGAGGACACAGGGCCGCATGAGCAGATCCCCTCCCCATCCCATCCCACTGCTATCCATGGACTCCCAGGATGCCCTGGCTCCCCTATCACTGCTGCCAGCTCCCCAGAATCCCTCTTCCCACTCTTGGGCCTCTCGGTGTGGGCCTCTCACCTGGGGGCTCAGCTGTCTTCTGGCTCTGCAGGTAAGAGTTACATGCGCAGGGAGTGTTGGTGGGGGGAGTTCCTGTGGCATGAGTAACCTAGAAGTAGGCATTTCTGCCTGTTTCTGAAGACTATCATCCCCCATTTTACCTGCAGCATTTCCTGGTCCTGGCTTCCCTCCTCTATGCCTTCCACCTGCTCCTGCTTTGCAGTCTTCCCCCAGGAGGGCTCTCTTACTCCCCTGCTCAGCTCCTAGCCTCCAGCTTCTTTGCATGTGGTGTATCTACTGTCCTGCAAACCTGGACTGGCAGCAGGTGAGTGGAACTCCTTAGGGAGAGGGGCCAGGGTCCCTGTGGGGAAGAGAGGCTTGGGAAACCTACTGGCTGCTACATGTTTCCTGACCTGCTGGGGCTGCTGTTCCTACAGGCTGCCTCTTGTCCAGGCTCCATCCTTAGAGTTCCTTATCCCCGCTCTGGTGCTGACCAGCCAGAAGCTGCCCAAGGCCATCCAGACGCCCGGAAATGGTGAATATAGAGCAAGGGCAGACAGAGGAAGGGGTTGGGTGCTCATCTGAGCATACAGGTGGAAGTGGATGCAGGACTGAGGTTGGGCAGTAGTGGAACTGCCAGGTATCACAGGGGTCTTGGGGCTGTGCCAGGCACTAGCTAGCACTGGAGAGCAATGGTTTACCATCCTACTTACCTTTGCTTCTCTCTATGCCCCAAACTCCTCTCAGTCTCCCTCACCATGTACCCGTGTAGGGGACCTGGCTGCCATGGCCTGGAGTCCTGGAACACATCTCTCCGAGAGGCAAGTATCTGCAGCTGGGAAGCAAGAGGCCTAGGGCAGTGCAGGCTCAGAGAGGCTCTTATTTCCAATATGCACGGACTGAGATGCCCTCTGGGGGAAAGAGTCAAGGCAGGGTCCTGTCCTTGGAATTCCTAAGGAAGTCCAGGCTCAGGTCAATTTGAGCAGAATGTTTTTTCTCCATCTTCTCCCCTACCCTACTAGGTGTCAGGGGCAGTGGTGGTGTCCGGGCTGCTACAGGGCATCCTGGGACTGCTGGGGGGTCCTGGCTGTGTGTTTGCCCACTGTGGACCCCTGGTTCTGGCCCCCAGCCTGTTTGTGGCAGGACTGTCTGCCCACAGGGAGGTGGCCCACTTCTGCTCTGCTCAATGGGGCCTGGCCTTCCTGTACGTGAGTCCTTTGAGGCATGGGACCAGCCCAGTGGAGTGTGTGGGACTCGGGGAGGGCAGGGCACTGGTCCTCTCAAATTTTGGCTGCCACCTGGGCAGGGATATCACTTTTTAGATTACAAATCCAAAACTTTGCCTTGATTCATACAATCTCCCTGATAATCACATTGCCTATTGCTGTATCCCAGGGAGCCTCCCCCACACAATTCTGCCATGGGTGGGGTTTCACCTTTGGGTCCTCCCACCACCACTGCCATTGCTCAGGACTCTTCTACCTCTTGCCCCGAAAGCTCCTTCTCTCTCCTAGGCTCATCCTACTCATGGTGATCTGTTCGCAGCACCTGGGCTCCTGCCAGGTACCCTCATGCCCTTGGAGGTCATCGTTAGCCGCTTCAACTCACGTTCACACTCCTGCCTTTCGGCTCCTCTCGGTATGTGGGGGTCTGGGCCTTTGAGGTTAGAGGGGATGGCATGACAGAGCCCTCTACTCTGGGCTTGGTCCACCCACCAAGCCTGGTCTGGTGAGTGCTGGGGGAAGGGCACTTTTCCGTCTCAGTCCCGCCCCTCAGGTGCTGGTCCCTGTGGCCTGTGTGTGGATACTTGCTGCCCCACTGGGTCTCAGCGTTATCCCCCTGCAGTTGTCTGCAGCTGTTGAGGCACCGTGGTTTTGGCTGCCTCACCCAGGTATGTTTTCTTGCTCAAATCAAGGTATGTATTTCCTTGAGCTCAACACTTAATGGATATAATGGATTTCACTTCTGAGTTAAATCCTATGTTTTCTCAAAACTTATGGGAAACAGAAAATTGCTAACCTGTGGCAGCAATTCCAGTCCCTTATTTGGATCAGTGTTAAGAGACAGACATCTACAGTGCTCATTCCAGATACGCCATTTACATGTTTATGTTATTGATCTCCCTGGGCATTTCAGGTCTACATGGAAAGACTGCTTTTGAGGCATTGCATGTGAAATTTGCTCATTTATCTATTAGTTAATTAATTAGTTTTTGGACACAGGGAATTGAACCTAGGGACTTCACAGGGAGCTACATCCCTTTAAAAAAAAATTTTTTTTTTTTTTTTTGAGACAGTGTCTTGCTGAGTTGCTAAGTTGCCCAGGCTGGATTCAAACTTGTGATCCTCCTTTCTCAGCTCCCAGAGTGCTGGGATTACAGAAGTGTGCCATCACGGCCAGCCGAGAAAGTTATTTATGATGAAATAGTCATTGAGCTGAGATGTGAGAGATGAGTAGAGCTAACTGGAGAGGAGGCAGGAGAGAACAGCATTTTGGGTGGTGAAAGCAGCATATGCAAAGGTCCTGTGCCAGCCAGGAGCACAGCAAGTCCACGGTCTAAAACAAGACCAGTATTTCTAGAGAGAAGTGAGGTAGAGTGTTGCAGATAGACTGGAGAGTGAGGTGAGAGTCATACCAAAGAAACTGTAGAGAAGGTATTTGGTAAAGGGATAGGTCCATCTCCTTAGAGTTCAGTGGTTTTGTCCCAAGACATTATCTTAAGATGCACTGAGGCATCTAGGATTCTTGTGAAACAGGCCCGAAGCAGGGAGGGGCAGAAGGAGGTACCAGACTCAACCTCATGTGGCTCTTTCTTCCTCCCCAGGTGAGTGGGACTGGCCCTTGTTGACACCTAGGGCTTTGGCTGCAGGCATCTCCATGGCCTCAGCAGTCTCTACCAGCTCCCTAGGCTGCTACGCCCTGTGTGGCCAGCTGCTGCATTGGCCTCCCCCACCTCCACATGCCTGCAATCGAGGACTGAGCCTGGAGGGGCTGGGCAGTGTGCTGGCTGGGCTGCTGGGGAGTCCCCTGGGCACAGCATCCAGCTTCCCTAATGTGGGCACAGTGAGCCTTTTCCAGGTACAAGGACCTGGAACAGGTGGGGAACTGGATGGAGGGGCAGAAGAGCAATGGAAACTCACACTGGTTGGTTGCCAGCTGTGTCCAGCAGTCATGCAGGCAGTTCACATTAATAATCCCACTTGGAGAGGTGCCCGGAAGTGGCAAGAAAGAAGCTAGGGGTATGGGAAGACAGTAGATCCCCAGGAAAGGTGCATTAGGTGCTCTGCCAAGGCTGGGGTTCCAGTGAAGAACAAGTCAGATGAAGCCCTGCTCTCTTGGGGACTTGATAGAGGGAAGAAAGAAAGTAATTTTAGAGAATGATTAGAGAAGTAAGTAATTTTAGAGAGTTATAGAGAGTGCTGTTAAGAAGACAAAATAATGAGATAGTGGATTAAAGGAAGCACCTTTGGATAGAATGACCAGGATGCTTCTTGGGAGAGTAGTATTTAAGTTGGGACCCAAGTAATGAGAAGGAATTGGCCAAGCAGAGACCTGGAATAGGCCAAGGAGGTGGTTGTGTTTTCTGTCTCTTTGCACAGGCTGGATCTCGGCGAGTGGCCCACTTAGTGGGGCTGCTCTGCATGGGGCTGGGGCTGTCGCCCAGGCTGGTGAAGTTCCTCACCACCATCCCACTGCCTGTGCTTGGTGAGTGGATATATGGCAGGCCTGGTATTGAAGAAGTATCTCCCCCTACCTCCATGTGGCGGGACCAGGCAGTTAGACTGGCACCCTCTCTCTCTAAATGGCCTCCCTAGATGAAAGAATATAAACATGGTCAGCTGCCCTCAATTTCTCAGCCCAATATCTTGGCCTCTTGGCTGGGCTCCTGGGCTTTTGGCAGAATAAGAAACAAATCCTTGGTTGTTCCTGCATCACAATCAGCTTTCCCTACAGTCCCCTGTGTTGTGCTGTACCCACTACCCTTGATTTCTTCTGTTCGAGACAGGAGGGGTTCTGGGGGTGACCCAGGCTGTGGTTCTGTCTGCGGGCTTCTCCAGCTTCCACCTGGCTGACATTGACTCTGGGCGAAATGTCTTCATTATGGGTTTCTCCATCTTCATGGCCCTGCTGCTGCCAAGATGGCTTCGGGAAGCCCCAGCTCCACTCAACACAGGTGGGTGGAGTGGAGAGGGGAAGAGTGGTACTCAGTAGTGGGGAAGCACTACTGCAAACACAACAAAAGGAAAAGTTTAAAAATATTTGGTGAGAATGTGGTCATTTTTGATGGAGGAACCATTATACGTAGAGATATAAAAGTAGAAGTCATGAGAGAGCAGCAAATGTCTTAGTTTGTCTAGCGCAGTTTTCAACTGGATGTGACTTTTGCCCCCATGGGAGATATTTAGCAATGTCTGAAGACATTTTTTGGATTACAAATAGTGAAGAAAACCAGGCATGGAGGCACATGCTTGTAATACCAGCACTGGGGAGGTAGAGGTAGGAGGATCACTGCAAGTTTGAGGCCAACCCGAACTACCTAGTGAGAACTCATCTAAAAAAACTGACCCCGCCCCCTAAAAAGAAAGGAGGGAAGGATTGTTACTGGCATTTAGTAACTAAAGAGATATTGGGCCAGGGATTTAACTAGGTGGTTCTGCTGCCTGCCTTACAACTGCAAGGAGCTGAGTTCAATCCCCGGTACCAAAAAATATAAATAAATAAATAAGTAAATAAGTAAATAAAATAAAGAGCTATTGCTAAATGTCTTACAATCCACAGGACAGCCCCTTACCAAAAAGAATTTCAAAATGTCAGTAGCACTGAAGTTGAGAGACTCTGAGTACAGCATAGAAGTTAAGAATGGAGAGATAAAAAAAAAAAAAAAACCCAAAACAAAAGCCTGTGAAATACTGTTAGGGGGCCGGGACTTAGCTCAGTGGTCCGCCACCTGCCTTGCAAGGGCAAGGACCTGAGTTCAGTCCTGGTACAAAAAAAAAAAAAAAAAAAAGCCTAAGAATGGAGAGATAAATTTAGGGTTTTTTATTCTTTTATTTAGTGGTATCCAGGGTTTTCACACTAAAATACAACCTCAGCCCTTTTTGTTTTTTGAGACAGGGTCTCAGGAAGTCTTTTAAGTTGCCTTGCCTCAGTCTCACAGAGTACTTTGGTTATACGTGTGTGCCACCATATAGGGCTAGGTTGGGACTTTTAATATCAAACTTTCCAGAAAAAAGAAACTGGAACAAAGTATATCAAGAGGATGTATGGATGCTCAGAAGACAAGGCGCTGAACAGGAATCCTGTGGGGGAAGAGCTTGAGTGTAGGTAATGGAGAGTAATGGGATAAAAGGTAGGGAAGACAGAGTTATAACTCAGAAAGCCCTGCCCTTGGCCCAAGACTTAGGTCTAGGTCTAGGTCTGGAAGGATAGACTCCCTGGCTTTGGTCAGCATCAGAGCTGCTTTTCTGCCTGGCCCCAACCCCTGTAGGCTGGAGTCCCTTGGATGTTTTACTGCGTTCACTGCTAACACAGCCCATCTTCATGGCTGGACTCCTGGGCTTCCTCCTAGAGAACACAATTTCTGGTAAGCAGAAGCCAGCTCCTAGCAGACTGGGGAGTGCCAGTAAGTCATCACTCCCTGGGCTAGGCACTGACTAACCTCTCTTCTGCAGGTACACGGCTTGAACGAGGCCTAGGTCAAGGGCTGCCATCTTCTTTCACTGCCCAAGAAGTTCAAAAGCTTCAGAAGTCCAGGGAAAAGACTGTTCAAGAGTACGGGCTTCCTTTCTCTATCCAAAACCTGTGTTCCTGCATCTGTCAGTCCCTCTGTTGCCTCCACCCAATATCTGAAGACCATAAGGATGAAGAACGAGGGCCCTCTGAGCCAGGAGAGACATCAGACTTATTGCTTGGCTCTGAGGAACCCTGCCCTGCCTCTACCAGAGAAGAGCTTAGGTCCCAGTAATTACCGGGAGTCCTGTTTCTGCCCTCATTAGTTTAGTCCTAACTTGCAGCTTGCTGGAGAGTCCATGCCCAGGTTTTGTCCTAGAGAGGGTATGTGGTGGGTACATGGGTTCATACACTTAGAGATCCTATTCCCAACAGGATGGGTTGCCTTTCCTTCCAGAGCAGGGGCCATGGTTTAGTGGTCATGAATGAATGAATGAGATTTTTGCCTGGGAATTATCCAATGCCACTTGAACCCTAGCTTTCACTTAACAAATATTTATTGATATGAATATGGCAGAGTCCCTATCCTCTCCAGCCACTTAGGATTTAGAAAGACCCACGTGATAAAATGCACTGCAGAAGGCATTTTGTAATAAAAATGAAAATAATACCATGAGAGCAGAAGAAACGATTCAGTCTGATTGGGGATAATGGGAAATGCTTTATGAAAGTAACATTGAGGGTAGACTTGACAAGGGGAGAGAATCTGGGGTTTTAGAAAACAGAGCGGGAGAATTTTTCAGGCTCAGAAATCCAGCTTAAGCAAAAGCATGAATTATACGAACTACAAGAAGAGGGGTTTTGAATCTCAGCAGTGACAGATCATAAGTATGGGAGTACATGGAGGGAGAAATGAAATACGGGAGGTAAAAGATGAGGTAGGATTACAGGATTTACATGGGGGGCGCCCTCTTTTGAACCACTCTAAAAGGTGGTGAGGAGGGCCAAGGATTTCGCTCAATGGTTCTGCTGCTTGCCTCGCAAGCGCAAGGACCTGAGTTCGATCCCGGTACCAAAAAAAAAAAAAAAAAAAAAAAAAAAAAA